CTGGGGGATGACTGCTAATTAACCTTTGCACTGCTGCTTTTTCCAGCTGGAGCTCATCACAGCCCAGGCCATGAGAGCTGGTTTTACTGGGGGAATGGTGGTTGATTACCCCAACAGTGCCAAAGCCAAAAAGTGAGTCCTGTCTGTGTGTGTATGTTTGGGGTGGGGCCTGGGTTTAGCAGGAATTTTTATTTTTTTTTCCCCCTCAGCTGTTCTCTCTCCCATGGCAGACTACTGGACAGAGGTTACAGCTTAGATCTGGCTGTTACAAACCATGTCAGTCTTGCTTGGGGAGTGAGACTTACATGCTGAATCCCAGCTTCATGCTCCTTCTTGTTCTTTCAGGTTCTTCCTTTGTCTCTTTGTTGGGGCCTCTGGCACATTACCAAAGGTGAGGAGCTCTGTGGGGCAGCAGAGCTGCTGGGTAATGTGGAAGAGCTGTGGGCAGAGTGGGAGCCAGGCAGCTCAGTGTGTGTACATGTGACTTCATGTGTATATTTGCTGTCAGTCACCAACCTCTGCTCTCATAGAGTCACAGGATGATTTGGGTTGGAGGGACCTTAAATCTCATCCAATTCCACCCCCTGCCCTGGGCAGGGACACCTTCCACTAGCCCAGGTTGCTCCAAACCCCATCCAACCTGGCCTGGAACACTTCAGGGCTGGGGCAGCCACAGCTTCTTGGGGCAACCTCTGCCAGTGCCTCAAACCCTCACAGGGAAGGATTTCTTCCCAATATCCAATCTAACCCTACTCTTTCAGTATAAATCCATTCCCCCTGACATCTGCTTTCTTTGCCACAATTTCTGGAAGACCAGTTTGTTCCTGCTCCTGTCCTTTCCTTTGCAGATCCCTGTGTTCCCCTTAACTTCAATGGCATGGCTGTTAGCTGTGTCTTCTCCAGAGGAGAGCACAACTGCCCCATTTTGCTTTCCAGGGCCTTGGTACTGAGTGTGCTGATGAAGAGCCACACCAGGCAAAGTTCACCAATGAAAGGTATCGCAGGGGAGAAGCTGCAGGTTCTCCCCAAGCAAGGAGTAGGGGGCTGTGAGGGCTGGGCTTGACTGGGCACCACAGTGCTGCTGTGTTAAAGTGACCAGAGGGGAGGCACTGGGAGGGCCCTTGGCAGCCCAGGTAGGCACTGCTTTATCTTCCCCTAGGGCCCAGACACAGGGAACAGAATGGTTAGTTCAGAGGGCTCTGCCATGAGGCTGGTGGTGCTTACCCTAGAGCTGTGCCTGAGCAGTTCAGGTGCACTTTCTCTCCAGCACTTTGCTCTCCAGTGGGCCTAGTGGTGTGGAAGGGGGAATGTTTAGAGGGATGGTGATACCAAGCATGGAGTCAGGCTGTCGTGCCTGAATTCTGGTGTTCCCTTTTCCTGCTCAGCTCTGCTTAGCTGTGGCCTTGGTGGTTTCTCCTGCTGGCCAGGTCTCTTCCCATGGCAGTGGTGCAGGAAGATCTCTCTTGCAGCCAGTGGGAGGGACAGAACAAAAACCAGAGGAAAGTCGTCGTGGCTGCCAGGAGCTTGTGGCTGCCACGTTTTCCTGCCTCTTACACTGCTGTTCTCTGCTCACTTAGTCCAGGGGTGCCTGGTCTTGGAGGGCAGTAGCAGAGCTGGGAACCTTTTGGGAGGCAGGGACTTTGCCGTGTTTGGAGTAGAGCAGACAAGGGGGAGGTGGTTGCAGCCAGTAATCCCCTGAGATCCCAGAGCCCAGTGTGCTCCTAGTGTGTCAGGTATAGCACAGGGGGGTGCTGGCCTGCTGCAGTCCATGGAGGGTCAGTATCCCTTGTCTTGGAGCTGGGGTTGGGAGCAACCTCCTTGTCTGACATGTCTGGAGTTGGACCATTTGGCCTCATGCCCCAGTGGTGGCTGAGCCTCATCCAGGGGTAATGGGAGGGGAAACTCACTGCTTTTGTGACCCAGTTGTTGGTGACAGGCCTCTGGGGCAGAGAACTGTATCCTCACACTTCAGCTCCTCTCCAGCTGCTGTCTGCTTCCTCCATAGGACACGGTTCAGAAACGCCAAGGGCAAGTCCGTGAAGAAAAGCCGGGACTGGATCCTGGAGAAGAAGGAGCGTAGACGACGACAGGGCAAGTGAGTTCAGCTGAGGCTGGTCTGGCTTACCCGACCCCCTGCCACAAACCCACGCTGCCCCTCCCAGCGTGACCTGTAGGTGGTGCTAAGCTGTTTCCTGCTTTTCTCCACAGGGAGGTGCGAGCAGACACGAAATACACGGGTCGGAAGCGCCGCCCTCGCTTCTGAACTGCTCTGGACACTGCTGGTGTGGAAGGTGTGGGTGCCTCCAGTAAGCCTCCCATGGATGCACAGTTGGGCACCCCAGGCCTGGGACTTACAGGGACAGGTCATTGTGGTTCTTGAAGGTGTGAACTGACTCAGCTGCTGCCCAACAGCAAAGCTTCCAGCCCTGTTTTCCTGGTGGAGTGGCAGACAGTGCTCTGGCCACTTGGTGTCTGCAGTGCCATCACTTACCTCCGAGTGCAGTGAGCCAGCTGAGCTCCAGGTGAGCCAGGACATGATATCCAGCTTCCTCACTAAACAGTCAAGGACTTAGAAGTGATGTTGGTCTCCTGTGTTCTGCCCTTGGTGCTGCTTCTGTATTTCCACTGAGGTGAAAATACGGTACTGAGTTCCCTTCCAGCTTCTATTCTGCCTCCAGGCAGGGAGTGAGGCAGTGTAAAAGTGTGGATCCATGACAGCAGAGCTTCTTCCTGGCAGAAGTGTTATTCCAGTGGCCATTGCTCCTGGGTGTGCTTGGCACCAGGCCCACCCTGTTTGCTTTAGTGCTCTGAGGGCACTGGGGCTGTGACCCTGTCACCTCCTCCCTTCCCCTGACACAGGTGCCAGCCAGAGCTTTACAGTTACAAATGTTTATTCTACATAAAAATTCCACAAAATGGGAAGCTGTTTTGCACCCAAAGCTTTGGGAGAAGAAAGGGAGGCTAGCGGGGAGGGAAAAGAGGGAAGGAGAAAAGAGGCAACATACAGTGTCATCCAGCCCAGTGAGACAGAGCAAGCCAGGGTCAAGATCCACATAGAAAACAAGGACACTTAGCTCACAGTACAGCAACAGTACAACTCCACGGGGGGCTCGGAAAGCCTTCAAGTACATTAATTACAAAATAAAACCAATCCCCAGTTCGAGTGCAAGCTGTGCGTGCCCCACACTGCTCGTGGAATACTGCATCGACACGCTCCCGGCGCGGGGAGGGCAGGTGGCACTTGGAACAGAGGTGGTGGAACCCAAAGGACAAGCGGGCGGAGGTTGGGGGGGAGGGCTGGAAAGAAAAAGTGAAATGTCTTCCCAAAGCACAACCACACGTGGTGATTTGGTCTGTACATGCAACGACAGGTAGGTAAAAAGGAACTGAACGGGGCTTCCCGTAGTGCAGGGGTAATTATTGCACCAAAACACCCTCCCCTCACAGCGAGGACAGTGTGAGCCTGCCTGTGGGGCAGCAGTGGCAGCCCGCTCCTCGACTCCCTCACCTCCCAGCC